TATTTATATTAATCAGAAGATTATAAATTGAACTATTATTTTTAATTCTTTCTTTCAAAAATTCTTTTGAATTTAGTTATGATGGACGTATTGATCGTGTTGAAGCTCGTATAACATCATTATTACGTGATCAACTTGGTACAGCTAAAAATGCTAATGAAATGTTTCGTATATTTTCACGTTTTCATGAATTATTTGTTCGTCCACATATTGGTGGTGCTATACGTGAATATCAAACACAATTAATTCAACGTGTTAAAGATGATATTGAATCATTACATGAAAAATTTAAACAACAATATGTACATTCAAAAGCAAATCGTATAAGTCGTTCAAATGATTTACCACCAACAAGTGGTTCAATAATATGGGCTAAACAAATTGAAAAACAATTAAATACATATTTAAGACGTGTTGAATATGTTTTAGGTAAAAGTTGGGAACAACATGTTGAAGGACAACGTTTAAAACAAGATGGTGATAATTTTCGTAGTAAACTTAATACACAACCATTATTTGAAGAATGGACAAAAAATGTTCAACAAAAAAATCATGGTTTAACAGGAAAAATTTTTGCAACAGAATCAACACGAACATTACATGGATTAGTAACAAAATTAAAAGTTAATTTTTCACCAGAAATTATTATGTTATCAAAAGAAGTTCGAAATATTCGTAAGTAAAAAAAGAAAAAAAGAAGAATGTACTATTGAACATTTTTTATTTTCTAGGTGCACTTGGTTTTCGTGTTCCATTACCGATTATTAATAAATCTCATCAAGCTAATGTTTTATATCCATTTGCTGTATCATTAATTGAAAGTGTTCGAACATATGATAATGCAATTGCAAAAGTAATTATTTAATTTTAAAATAATTTCAATTATTTTTTTTTTATTTTTGTAGTTAGCTGATCGTCCATCATCTCAACTTCTTGTTGCATCACTTAAACGTGATATTCAATCACATATAAATGAAGGTGCAAATTATGTTTGGGAATCATATCGTTTAGAACCATTTGTTCATAAATTTTCTGAAGCTATTTATACATTTCAAGAACGTGTTGATGAATTAATATCTGTTGAAAATTCAATTGATCTTGAATTAAAATCACTTGATACATGTTCATATAGACAACAATCATTTCAAGATATACTTGGAAAAATTCAAAAATCTGTTGATGATTTATCACTTCGTCTTTATTCAAATTTAGCTCAATGGGTACAACAATTAGATGAACAAATTGAAAAAAAATTAGCTATAAGACTTCAAACAGCTATTATTATGTGGTCAAATGCATTAAAACAAGGTAATGAAAATAATTTTGATGAACAACAAAAACGACGACGAAGTACATTTATTGATGAAGATGATCTTCTTATATCATTAAAAACAAATAATGATCAAACACCAACAATACGTACATTATTACATCAATTACGTACAAGTAATCAATTACTTTATGTATCACCACCAATGAATGATGCACGTGAACAACTTATACTTGAATTATATGAATATGAAGGTACAATAACAAATCAAAAACGTATACAACATTCACGTTATCAACTTGGTATTGAATCTGAATCTGAATATAAAACAACATTTAAAAGTTTACTTAATAAATTACCAATGAATTCTAAACCATTAGAAGATGCATATGAAACAATTGAATCATTAATAAAAGCAGCTGATGATTATGTTAATACATGGCTTGATTTTCAATCATTATGGGATTTACAAAGTGATCAACTTTATACACGTCTTGGAAAAGATATAACAAATTGGATGAATTGTTTAAATGAAATGAAAGATGCAAGAAAAACATTTGATACACAAGAAACATTAAAACATTTTGGACCAATTACAATTGATTATAATAAAGTACAAACAAAAGTAACAATGAAATATGATTCATGGCATAAAGAAATTTTATCAAAATTTGGTACAATGCTTTCACAAGATATGCATGAATTTCATGCACATGTTAGTAAAGCACGTACTGATCTTGAATCACAATCATTAGAAGCATCAACAACAGCTGAAGCTGTTGGAGTTATTACTTATGTACAAGCATTAAAACGAAAAATGAAAAATTGGGAAAAACAAGTGAGTTTAGATTTATGAAAGACAAAAAAAAAAAAGAAAATAGATTTAGAAGTTTTGTTCTAGTTAAGAGAGTTCTCATATATTTCTGAACTGAGATTCGAGAAGCAATGGAAGATTCTCTTTTGTTTTGTATTTTTTTTCTAGTTATCAATGAAATGATCGTTTGATAATACATAGAATAGTCAAAATACACCGATAGAAGTGTAAGCCGATCGACTGAGCTGTCGCCAACGCTCAAGCGATTTAGCCGTCTTGTCACTATTGCTCAAAATAGTTGCTAAAGATTCCGATCGCTGTGATATGAAAATAGATATTTAATTTTTAAAAATTTCCGACAGTCCAAATTAGTTTTTTTTAGAGGTGTTACCGTCTGATTTCTTGAAATTAAGAAAATTTTTCAAAAATTTAGTCTTGGTTTTAAATAATACCCACCAAGATACGTAACTATATTTCATATACAGTATTTTATGCAGCGAATGAATCGAGAGAATGATGTGTTATCTTAGAGATTATGTCCATTCTTTGAGAGAGAGAACGTCTGGAGGAAAAAAAAACAACTTTCATATAATTATAATTCTTTGACCACTCGAACTGATACCTGTTGTTTGAGCCCATTGCTTTGATGAGACTAGCAAAAGTTTAAAAGAATTTGTTCTTCTAGGTCTTTCGAACCAAGTTATGATCGTTCTATTGAATATTCGATTCAGCCTTAGATATATACTGAAAAACTCAAAATACAGAATTTCGATATAAAATCTTGCCCATGGATAGGTCTAATGACCTATAGAATATCCTGAAAGTTTCAGCTGAAAAAAAAATATTTTTTTCAGCTAAAACTTTTAAGATATTCTATCAATCATTCGACGTATCTATAAGCAAAATTTTCCATCAAAATTCTTTTTGTTTTTTTTATTTTTCGATATGTATAAGATCTCCTTGTGATGTCGAAATATGAACTCAAAAGGCGAGTATCAGTTCAGCTGATTCCTATTGTAAGTTGATATATCGAAGATTGATAAACTTCTAAAGTCTCACTACTCTTTGATTATTTCATACAATATTTAAATGAATCATCATAAGGAAAATTTTCCATTTGATTAAAACTTTTAATGTTTGATATTAATCTCATCAGATAATTTCCTTCAATGTTTACTCACCAATTTATAACTAAACAAAAAAACAAAATATTCATTGAATTACTAAATTATTAACTTTAAAAAAAAAACACACACACACAATCTTTCATCTAGGTTGAAGAATATAAAGATGCACAAAAAATTCTTGAACGTCAACGTTATCAATTTCCATCGAATTGGTTATATGTTGATAATATTGATGGTGAATGGGGTGCATTTAATGAAATACTTGCACGAAAAAATTCTTCAATACAAAATCAAGTTGTACAATTACGAAATAAAATAGCTGCTGAAGATAAAATTGTTGAAACACGTACAAATGATTTATTATCTGAATGGGAAAAAGATAAACCTGTTGCTGGACATTTAAGTCCTGAAGATGCATTAGGACAATTAGCAACATATGATATTAAATTAATGAAATTAAAAGAAGAACGTGATAATATAATTAAAGCTAAAGAAGCATTAGAAATAACTGAATCAACAACAACAATAAATCAATCAGCACAAAATCGTGTACGTGTACAGGTTGCATTAGAAGAATTATTAGATTTAAAAGGTGTTTGGAATGAATTAATGTTAATATGGAAACAAATAAATGAATTAAAAGAAAAACAATGGATTACAATACAACCAAGAAAATTACGTCAATCATTAGAAGAATTAGTACAACAATTAACAAATTTACCACAACGTTTACGTCAATATGATTCATATCAACATGTTAAAAATGTTTTACAACAATATATTAAAGTAAATATACTTGTTACAGAATTAAAATCTGAAGCATTAAAAGAACGTCATTGGAAACAATTAATGAAACGTATGTCAATAATATGGAATTTAAATGATATGACATTAGGACAAGTATGGTCAATTGATTTACAACGACATGAACCAATAATAAGAGAAATATTAACAATAGCACAAGGTGAAAAAGCATTAGAAGAATTTTTAAAACAAGTTAGTGAAATATGGAAAACATATCAATTAGAATTAATAAATTATCAACAAAAATGTAAAGTTATTAAAGGTTGGGATGATTTATTTAATAAAATTAAAGAACATATTAATTCAATAACAGCTATGAAATTATCACCTTATTTTAAAGAATTTGAAGAAGAAGCTAATGTATGGGAAGATCGTCTTAATCGTATAAATGCATTATTTGATGTTTGGATTGATGTACAACGACGTTGGGTTTATCTTGATGGTATATTTGGTTCAAGTGTTGATATAAAACATTTATTACCAGTTGAAACAAGTCGTTTTCAAAGTGTATCAACAGAATTTTTATCATTAATGAAACGTGTTAGTAAATCACCACTTGTTATAGATGTTTTAAATATTCAAGGTGTACAAAAAACTTTAGAACGTTTAGCTGAATTATTATCTAAAATACAAAAAGCTTTAGGTGAATATCTTGAACGTGAACGTGCATCATTTCCAAGATTTTATTTTGTTGGTGATGAAGATTTACTTGAAATAATAGGTAATAGTAAAAATATTGGACGTTTACAAAAACATTTTAAAAAAATGTTTGCTGGTGTTCATACATTATTAATGAATGATGATAATACAATTGTTCATGGTGTTATTTCAAAAGAAGGTGAAGAAGTACATTTTTATAATCATATATCTATTATGGATACATCTATTAATGAATGGTTAACAAAAGTTGAAAAAGAAATTAGTTTAACATTAGCTAAATTACTTTCACGAGCTATTCCTGAACTTATTAAAATTCAAGAAAATCTTACAGATACAGATGCTTTTATTCAATGGCTTGATCAATATCAGGTAGAATTAAAATAGAAGATAATAGTTTTTTAAATATGATTCTCTTGTTTTTTTTGTTTTAGGCTCAACTTGTTGTATTAGCATTTCAAGTTTCATGGTCCGAAAGTATTGAACGAATTCTTGAACAAAAATCTAAAACAAATAATAATGATATACTACCAGATGCACTTCAACGTATTGAATCAACACTTGGTATACTTGCTAATATGGTTTTAGGTGATCAACCAACAGTACGTCGACGAAAATTAGAACATTTAGTATGTATATTTGATTTTTTTTTTTTTTTATTTATTTTAAATCTATTTTTTTTTTTAATATTAGATTATTGAACATGTACATAAACGTGATTGTACACGTACATTAATTGAAAAAAAAATTGGAGATGCACGTAATTTTGAATGGCTTTCACAAATGCGTCTTTATTTTGATCCAACAATTACTAATGTTCTTGAACAACTTAAAATTCGTATGGCTAATGCAGAATTTCATTATGGTTTTGAATATCTTGGTAATTTAAATATCTTGTTTTTTTTTTTTAAATTGTTTTTAATACTTATGTTATAAACAGGTATACAAGATCGTCTTGTTCAAACACCATTAACTGATCGATGTTTTTTAACAATGACACAAGCATTAAATGCTAAATTCGGTGGATCACCATTTGGTCCTGCTGGTATGTTATTTTAATAGATAAAATAAAATAAATCTAAACGAATGAGTTTAATGTTTTTTTTTTCTCTTTTAAGGTACCGGTAAAACAGAATCAGTCAAAGCACTTGGTCATGCACTTGGTCGTTTTGTACTTGTTTTTAATTGTGATGAATCATTTGATTTTCAAGTAAGTTTCATAGATAATAAATGAGAGACTTGAATTTCGATTCAAGGAATTTTTTCAGCTCGGGCTTAAATTGATCCCATTAACTACTATGAAAAATTCCTATTTCTTTAATAAGTTGTTACATTCCATAGTGCTGAGTAATATGTATTTTCATTAAGACGTACTGTTCAGTAGAAGGACATAGTACAGAAATAAGATTTTTTATAAAAATTAATAAAGTCAATCGAAATTCACGTAATCTAAATAAATCATTCATTTGTAAAATATGTTTTTATTATTCAGGCAATGGGACGTCTTTTTACTGGTCTTTGTCAAGTTGGTAAGTGATTTTATTCTATAAAATTTCATGAAATTTTTTTTTATTAAATATTTTAGGTGCTTGGGGTTGTTTTGATGAATTTAATCGTTTAGAAGAACGAATGTTATCTGCTGTATCACAACAAATTCAAACAATTCAAGAAGCTTTAAGAGAATTAACACATAGTGATAATAAGAGTATTGTTTTTTTTCATTATTTATAAATTTTGTAATTTTCTTTTGTTTTATTTCTTAAAGGTGCATTAAAAATTGAACTTGTTGGTAAATCTGTTTCTGTTAATCCTAATATGGCTATATTTATAACAATGAATCCTGGTTATGCTGGTCGTTCAAATTTACCTGATAATCTTAAAATGCTTTTTCGTAGTTTAGCTATGACTGTACCAGATAAAGTTTTAATTGCACAAGTTATGCTTTATTCACAAGGTTTTCGTCAAGCTGAATTACTTGCATCAAAAATTGTTCCATTATTTACATTATGTAGTGAACAATTATCTCAACAATCACATTATGATTTTGGTTTACGTGCATTAAAAAATGTTCTTGTTATGGCTGGTAATCTTAAACGTGATCGTATTAAAACTGATGAACAAAAAACTGACAGTGAACAAGAAATTGTTATACAAGCTATTATGGATAGTTTTGTACCACGTTTAGTAGCTGATGATCTTGTTTTATTAAATAGTTTATTAAATGATGTTTTTCCACGTGCAGCTTATATTAGACCAGAAATGACAAAATTAAAAGAAGAAATACAAAAAGTATCAAAAGAAATGTTTTTAGTATGTGATGAATTATGGATGGAAAAAGTTTTACAACTTTATCAAATTATTAATTTAAATCATGGTTTAATGTTAGTTGGACCATCGGGTTGTGGTAAGTTTGACAAAAAAAAAACAAATTAAATTAAATTAAATTTATTCACATTTTGAATTTCTGTATGTTCAGGTAAAACAACAGCTTGGAGAGTTCTTTTAACAGTTTTAAATCGATTAGAAAATTCCGATGGACAAGCACATGTTATTGATCCAAAAGCTATTTCAAAAGATGATTTATATGGTTTTCTTGATCAAAATACACGTAAGATTTTTACAATAGAATAAAGAATATATAGGAAAGTAATAGTTCATCTTGTAAAGAAAAGAACAAAATTATTAATATTAATTACATAAGAAACGTCAAAACAATGAAGAAAATAAAACATTGTATATTTTCAAGGGATCAATTATCTCTATTAAACAACTTTTTTTTAAATACTATGATAGACGAACAGTCGATTGAATTCAAGTCAGAGTCTGAATGTATTTCAATTTCATTTTCGTATAAAGGAATCTCTTCAGCTGCTTCCTTCTAATTTCCATGATTTTATAGTGTTATAGTAAAATCCTTAAAAACTAAAGGCTCCCAGTTTGTGGAAAAATTGTATTGTCAAATTTTGATTTGAAATTTTGTGCATGTAGAGAACTCAACTAAACTAATTTCTATAGAAAAAATTCAGAAGTTTTGAACAGTCTTATCGAGATGTAAAGATTTCAAAATATAGGTCCTTTTCTATGGATAATGTTTTCAGAATTTCTCATTATGTATTTAGTTTAAATCGATAATAAAATAAGCGAATGTGTCATAACGGACTAAAAAAAACATAAATATATGTACTATACAAGATGTAAGTTTACCAAACAATACTGTAATTATATCGACTGAAAAAAAAATGTGTAACGAAAATAAGAATTGAAGAAAATTATTTATTTCGTATTGTAATTTTCATATAATCTCAAAATATGAAATTGATTAGATGAATTTAATAAAATAATATTTAAAATTGTAAACGAAATTATAATTATTTTTTCAGGTGAATGGACCGATGGTTTATTTACTCATACTCTTCGTAAAATAATTGATAATGTACGTGGTGAATTAAGTAAACGTCAATGGATTATATTTGATGGTGATGTTGATCCTGAATGGGTTGAAAATTTAAATTCTGTACTTGATGATAATAAATTATTAACATTACCAAATGGTGAACGTCTTAATTTACCATCAAATGTTCGTGTTATGTTTGAAGTTCAAGATTTACGTTATGCAACATTAGCTACAGTATCACGTTGTGGTATGATATGGTTTAGTGAAGATGTTCTTTCATTATCAATGATATTTGAAAATTATTTTCTTCGTATACAAAATGTACCAGTTAGTGATGAAGAAATTGAAACAAATTTTCCAAGTAGTTTAACAAATGAAGATATAAAAACAACAAATGATAATAATCAAACATTATCAACAACAGTTGCTTTACAACGTTTTATTGTTAATATATTAAAACCACATTTTCAACATGATAATAGTCTTGTTATAAAAGCACTTGATTTTGCATTAAATCAAGAACATATTATGGATTTTACACGTTTACGTCCATTAAATTCATTATTTTCAATGCTTAATCAAGGTATAAGAAATATACTTAAATATAATCAAACACATCCAGATTTTCCAATGTCACAACAACAAATTGAACTTTATATGACACGTTGGTTAATTTATTCACTTTTATGGTCATTTGTTGGTGATTGTAAATCAAAAATAAGGTATTTCAAATTATTTAATATATATATATATATATATATTCTTTTGTTTTAGACATGAATTTGGTGAATATATTCGTGCAGTAACAACAATACAAATGCCAGCTAATCAATCTATACCATTAATTGATTATGAAGTAACAATGGATGGAGAATTTTCTCCATGGATATCTAAAGTACCATCAATTGAAATTGAAACACATCGTGTTGCTGCTACAGATCTTGTTATACCAACAATTGATACAATACGTCATGAAACATTATTAAATACATGGTTAGCTGAACATAAACCATTAGTTTTATGTGGACCACCTGGTAGTGGTAAAACAATGACTTTATTTAGTGCATTACGTGCTTTACCAGGTAAATCATTTCAAAGAAAATCTCCCTACAAGAATGAAGATCTTTTTTTTATGAACCACAATCTAAAACGAGTGTTGAAGCATACAGGATAGAAATTTGTACCGTTCACAGTAGAACCATTGGATCAAGATCCGATAGGCTCTGTCTCACATACAATGGCAGACGTTAATATACGAGCAAAGTTCGTATATCAATAACGTCTTGTTATAATATATGAGCTACTTCCTTATTACATTTCTGCAGGGTGATGAAGAACCGTATCTCAGAATAAAAAACAATGTTTTTATGATTAGCAACAATAGCTACATTATGTTTTACATTTTAATCTCGAAAGATTTGTGCTAATAGGTTTTGTTTTTTCTTGTGTGTTTTAAGATTTTGAAGTTGTTGGTTTGAATTTTTCTTCGGCAACAACACCTGAATTAATGTTAAAAACATTTGATCATTATTGTGAATATCGAAAAACTCCAAATGGACTTGTTCTATCACCTATACAATTAAATTCATGGATTATTATATTTTGTGATGAAATTAATTTACCTGATGAAGATAAATATGGTACACAACGTGTTATATCATTTATACGACAAATACTTGAACATGGAGGATTTTATCGTACATCTGATCAACAATGGGTTAAACTTGAACGTTTACAATTTGTTGGAGCTTGTAATCCACCGACAGTGAATATTATTTTGATTGATTATTAAATAAGAAATTATATTTATTTTTTTAATAATTTTTAGGATCCTGGACGAAAACCTCTTTCACATAGATTTCGTAAATTTTCTTTTAAATTAAATATAAAAGTATTTTTATTATTGTTTTTTTTTTGTTATTTAGTTCGTCATGTACCAATTATCTATGTTGATTATCCAGGTGAAACATCACTTAAACAAATCTATGGAACATTTAATCGTGCAATGCTTCGTATTATTCCATCACTTAAACCATGGGCTGATTCATTAACTAATGCTATGGTCGAATTCTATCTTCTTTCTCAAGTAAATATTTGTTTGTTTTTTGTTTGTTTTGGTGATTCTTCATAGATATTGCTCAATTCTACAGAGCTCAAAATTTAGCTTTTACTAATTCTCAATATTCGACTTTGATCTCGAATTCAACTATTTTAAGGCTGCCTATAAGAAGGTCTAGAGACACTAGAAAAAAAAACAATTCAAAAAATGAAGAGTAGCAAGTTTACTAGAAAAATAGTAACAATGTTCAGAAATTTCTGAATACGTATTTGATAGTGAATCCTATATAGCTTCAGAATCGTTTAGGCAATTGTCTGAATCTTCAACATTGTACAAAAATGCTTATTTAGTATTCGAACATGAATATATTGATAGTAAGATTTGAATCTAAAATTCGATTTCACTGTTTGTCTAATCAAAAGAAAGATTTCTGGTAACTT